GAGGAGTACATCCCCGGCTCCGCCACCGCGTCGTACAGCGCGCCCAGCTACAGCTCTTACAGCGCCCCCAGCTCTTACAGCGCCCCCAAGGGCCAGTACGCCGATGCCCTGGATGCCATCAGGCGCAGCCCCCTGATGCTGGAGCTCTCGCCCAACACCCGCGGCCTGGACGCGGTCGCCCGGCTGCCCGATGACCTGATCATCGGCGCCACTGTGGTGCTGCTGCGCGAGCACGGCCTTATGGACGCCAAGGCCATCGTGTCGCGCGACATCACTGTGCTGGTGCCCGCGGCGCAGACCGCCAAGGTGCGTGCGGGAGCTGGGGCGGTTGCGGGGCGGGAGCTGGGGTTTCGTGGGGCCTGCAGTGAGCCAGCTGCGTGATTGTGGGGCCGCAGTGTGCTAGCTGGGGGTGGTTGTGGGGATGCAGTGTACCAACTGGGGTGTTTGTGGGGCTGCAGTGAGCCAGCTGGGGTGTGGCTGGGCGGCAGTGCGTCAGCCGGGATTGCCGGGCCGCAGCTGCCCGGCAGGGCTCTAGCCGCACAACCTGTTTGGCTGATTTGCATCCACGTATTCCGCCTTGCGCTCCGGCTCGTCCCAACTCCTCTTGGCATCGAACGAAACGCACGATCGCCGGCATTCTCAGCATTGCTAACTGCGCCCTCAGCCGGCTTGTTTGCGATCGTCGGCCCCCCACATGACCCCTCCCTCGCAACGCGTCGGCACCCACCCATCCAACGCCGTCTTTACCCAAACCGCAGGCCGTGTACGAGGCCATGGAGGCCGAGCGCCTCGCTGAGCTGGCGGCCCTCGAGGCGGCCGAGAACGAGTCTGAGTTCCCGGAGGGCTGGGGCCCCCGCGACGTGTCCTACAGCGCGGCCCCCGCCTACAGCTCCTACTCTGCCCCGGCGGCCCCCTCCAAGTATGCCGCCGCCATCGACGCGCTCAAGCGCAGCCCCCTGATGCTGGAGGTGTCGGGCAACGCCCGCGGCCTGGACGCCGTGGCCAAGCTCAGCGACGACGAGATCATTGGCGCTGCCGTGGTGCTGCTGCGCGAGCACGGCCTGTTTGACGCCAAGCAGATCCTGGCCCGCGACCTGTCGGTGAGCCTTGCCAGCAGTTGCCGATTGCCAAGTATGTTTGTTGCAGTTGCGTCGAGACATCCTGCCTCGGCACTCGCCATGGGTCTCGACTGTGCTGGAATTGGCATTGTTTGCAGCGCGTTCGCCCGCTGGGGACAACAGTCCTGGTCAAACCGTGGTCAAACCTGGCGTAACATGCATTGCAGCAGGCCTGTGGCGCATCCGGCATCTTCTGACCCTCGCGGCGGTGCTTGCCTTCTCGCCCCCTTTCCCAGGTGCTGGTCCCCGCAGTGGAGACTGCTAAGGCCAACTGGGCCAGGGACGAGGCCGAGCGCCTGGCTGAGCTGGCTGAGGAGGAGGCCCGCCTGGCGGCTGAGGCCGCTGGCGAGGAGTACATCCCCGGCTCCGCCACCGCGTCGTACTCGGCGCCCAGCTACAGCGCGCCCAGCTACAGCGCGCCCAGCTACAGCGCGCCCAGCTACAGCGCGCCCAGCTCTTACAGCTCTTACAGCGCCCCCAGCTCTTACAGCGCCCCCAAGGGCAAGTACAACGATGTCATTGAGGCGCTCAAGCGCAGCCCTCTGATGCTGGAGGTCTCGCCCAACACCCGCGGCATCCAGGAGGCTTCCCGCCTGGTGAGTGGGCTGCGTCTCTTACGCGGGGCTGTAAGCTGCTGTCACGTGTGTGGTTTAGTTTGCCCCTGTATCATGCTGCTTGCAATGTTGGACTGCTGCAGTCGGATTGGCAGCAGCACAGCAGATGCCAAGTAAATCGTGCAGCCTGCAACGGTGGGCATCCGCCGTGCTGCTGCTGGGTTCACGTTGCCAGCAGCCTCTTCATGTTGTGGTGTGCAACTCACAGCCCTTG